GCTTACACGGCATCCCTCTAATTGCTAAAGGAAGCTGGCATCACTTAATGGCCAGAGAGGCAAGGAAATAACTGCAGCAGACAAATGGGCTCAGAGGTGGCCTTCACGTCATGAAAAGAACTGGCTGGGTGAAGATTCATTCAGGGAAAATGCAAAATAGGATCGAAGTAAATAAAGACATAGGAGGAAAAGGGCTGAATCCACTCTCTTTGCTGGGAGCTTGGATGGCAGCCTGTCCTTCGGCACACCGAAGGAAAATTCTGTAGTTTTGCTTTTGGCATCTACACCATGGAGTGATGGAGGATAGGCATTCTGCAACCCCAGAGATGGTGATTTCCTAGGAAAAGAGTCTAGCCGGACCTTGGCCATAGTTTGCATCCAAATGAGTCAAACAGGCAAGCCAAGGGGTTAGTAGCAACAAGACTCATGCACTGTAGCTGTCTTCAATCAGCAAGTGCGGTTGCTTTCAGAATATTAATTTGGATGGCAACAAGCAAGATATCAGAGAGGCAGCTCCTAGTGGAATTGGGGCAAGGCAGACAGACTTCATACATGGACGTCCTAGGATTAGCACTTTCTGTTCCCCACACCAATCTACTTTATCTTTTGCTCCTCACTGACATAACATTTAGATGGGCTAGCACCTGACAATATCCTTCCCAAGTCGGGCAAAAGGGTCAGTTTCGTTTTTCATCTAATTGGCATGCATACTCATAGAGTATATACCTTAAGGCAAGACTTGAAAGGAGGAAGTGCAACCCTCCTTGCCCTTCTGAACCTCTCATCAGCCTTATGAGATGCCATAAGATAGCCTTCCATAATGCTTCATCAGATATTATCTACTTAGTGATTAGTTTGTATCTGAAGAGATGGCGCTTGACCCTAAACGTGATATTTAGCTGGAAAGAAGTACTCTTTCCTAGCTATGTAGCTCAGTGGTTCTCAAATTTAACAGTATCACAATCCCCTAAAATCATACATGAATTTGTGCCACCCCCATGAATAAATCTAAATTTCACTGCAGTTAACATCAGGTAGGAGATAAATACCTTGTTTTTAATAATTCTGTGTATCAGATTGTGTTGCAGGATGTCCACAGGGTATGGGGAAAAAAGTCAGGATGGCTGTGACAGTTTGATCAAAGCTCCACCTGTTGTTATGTGTGGCAGAGCTTTGACTGCATCCTCATGGCCGCCATCTTGATTTGTTTTTATACCCCTGCCTTGTGGAGCCACCACCACAGGCTTGCCCAGGCAAAGTGAGGAGCTGACAGTCGCAGGAATTGACGGTCTTCTCAGTGTGCGGATGCAGGCAAAGCAGGAGTGCTGTCAAACTTGTTTGCCCTTTGCTTGGCCAAGGCCACAGCTGGTGCACAAAGCAGGGAACAAAGCCCAGAGGGGATTTTGACGGTGCTTCAACTTTGTCTGGGCAAGGCTGATCAGGTTTAAAAAGAATGTGCAACACCCCCCCCCCCCCCCC